AAGATCAGAAGAAATAAAAGATAAACAGAAAGTAATTTAAAGAGCGATGTTAGGTATGGAGGGAGGTTTTGTAAGGAAATATAGAAAGTTCAAAGGGAAGCTAAGGGTCACTGCCTCCAGGTTATAAAGTTAGGATGTTATAATGTTAAAGGATGCTAAATCAGTTAGCTAAGGGTTCTCTTACCTTCTGATTTCAGGCTTGTTTTTGGCAGTTTTTCCACCAAATCTCTTCTGTCCATGTCGATGAAAACCTCTCTGACCACAGCCAAAGATTTCTGGCCAAATCTCTCCACTATCAGACGGACCTGTTGGTTTAGATCGTCCATCATATCCAGAGTATCCATTTGGATTCCTGGGATGCTCCTGTGGAAGCAGGTTAACTGCAGCAACCTGCAGAATCTGTCCAGATCCATCAGACTGAGATGACGAAGGATCTCCATGAGGATTTTCCTGAAGTCTTCCTGCTGAAAGTCCAAAGTTTCATTTCTTAAAAGTGAATCATCCATATATTATTCAACCTTATTTTCTGTCTCTCTTTCATTAATTATATAAACATCCAGTTTGTGGGCTGCAGATGTCCTCCATGAGTAGAGAACCCAATCAAGGCTGGACTTTAAAAAATCAAATAGTCTAGAGAGCTGTTCTTACACTTGTGTTAACAAAAAAAATAAAATCTGTCTTAGTCTCTAAGTCAAACTCACCGATGCATCCGCTGGTTTTTCCACAGACAGATTCTCTGGGAAAAGGAAGAATACCAGGCTGTGTTACTGTATGCAGGAACGCTGCAATAACACCTTTAATTCACTGTAAAACTGACTTTAAAATAAAAAAAAACGACTGCATGGAACAGCAGAGCTCAGGTAATCTAGGCTAATCTAAGGAGCTTATCGGCTGTCCTTACCTTTATGCTGTGGGGATGCAGGGAACCTCTGCAGCAGGTCTGTCCTCTTCAGTTCTGTGAGAAGCTGCTTGGTGACGTCTACAGACGGCAGGCCCAGCTCTTCCATCATCAGATCCACTATTTCTGATCTATCTAACCTGTTCAACAGCAAGTGTTGAGGAAAACTCCACCTAACCTTTACCTTCAGTAACGCCGTAAATTCTTTGAGCTCATCGTCACTCAGCTCAGTAAGTATTTCCACCAGCAGCTGTCTTAAAGCTGAAAAGGTCGCCACCTGGAACATGAGGTTGATTAACAGAAGATGTGATCATTAGATCCAGGTCAGCAGCAGCAAGCAGGGAACATTTCCTGTCTCTCTAATACTGAATGAATGTTACTCACTCTGCGGATCAAAGCTGATCGTTTTTCATCCACTGAGGAAAGAACAGAATCAGGTTTTATAATTAGAGGCATCACTTTAATTTGGCCGTTAAGGTCATGATTCATTTCAGCCTAATTTTATTTCTTTATCTCACATCCTGTCATCTCAGGTCTCTGATTCAGTACCATCAATCAGGCAGGTTGGTAAAAAGTTTCTATCTAAGGAAAACCAGCTGATTGCATCCAGTCATGGCCTGATTAGAAACCAGACAAAAGTAGCTTTAGGTGGCCTAGTCAAAGTCTGGACTTTCACTGTGAAACAGCAGCTAACAGTGACAAACTCTGGCAGGCATGACTGTACAGATTTATACCCCAGTGGTTTATATGGCCGTTAAAAATGCTAAATGTCCTGTACTTATATA